ACCCCTAAGATGTGCAGGTTAATTTGGTCTAGCCGCAGCGCAAGTGGCAGCCTTTGATTTCCACCCTTTCCTTTCTATGATTTCAGAGCTGCCTTGAAGAATCTATAAGCTAATTTTGACACAAAACCCAAAGATTGAGTTTAACACATTACGGTGGGGGAAGGGGGAAGAAGGTAATAAAAAGAGCACATTTACATAATTAGGCATTGCACAACTTTTTTACTGGCCCAAATCATGTGAAAGTTTTCTCTCATAGATAACTGATTTTATTTATTCTCCATCTGCCACTCAACCTACTATAACTGGTGAACTGTCACTTTGTTGGGAAGGTTTTGAAGTGGTGTGGGACACTCATCTTGCAGATTAGCTCAAGAAGGACATTCCAAGGAGTCTGTTTTCCATTTTTCAAATGTTCTTCTGCTTATTTACTGTAATGACAAGGGTGATATCACATTATAATTGTTTTATGAATTAAAATGGTAGCACCAGTCTTTAAAGATTCATAATAAGAAACAGCCTTTTAAGTGTGTTTATGGAAATATAATACAAATGATTAGGGGTTTAGAACATTAGAATTGCAGTGTATAATTGTAATGTTTCTGTGGCTATATAGGAGCCAGTAATCCCTTAATGGACTACAGCATGCATTTAATTATTTACAGGGAAAAATCATTGCTGATAAAGTCATTGACTGATAGACCCACTGTCTCAACATGCTGAATGTGCTATGAAAGAGCAACTCTCTTATCTCTGCAGACACGCTCAGTCCAGGTATTCCCACTTTTAATACAGCAGATATCCATACACTTCTGTCCCAAGGCCTGAGATGTGAGACAAACACTAAGTGCACAAATACTCCTGTACCATCATGAGGCTCTTCTTTATCCTGAGGCCGCTGTGTATTTTTCAAGAGGTGCACACAGTGCCTATAATTAAATGATCATAAGGAGATATACGCACACAGTGCATATAATTAAACCATCATACTGAAATTTGATCCTTTCTACTATACTTGTTACTGAGACACTGGGCCAATCCATGAGTCCCCTTAGCTCAGTATAGCAGATTTTCTGATGACTGAATCTGTGTTTTTAGCAGTTTTATGAAGTCAGCAGCTCCCTAGTTATGTTTGCACTGGATTTTGCATGTAAGACCTGATCCAAAGCCCATTAACCATGGGAAGCTTTCCATTAACTATAATGGATTTTGGATTAGGTCTTCATGTTCCTATTCAGTGAGATAGAAAAGGCCATGCTTAAATCCAACTCTGTTCAGCAGAGCAGTGAACCAGGGGTTTATGTATTTTGCTGAATAGAGATGCTTTCCTGAACTGGGACCTTGAAGCGGGGTTTAGGAGTCAAACATATACTTATTCAAACAAGGTCAAACTTTAATGTTCTAGGTACTTTTCACACTCATTTCAGTGCATTTTTCAGAACACGAAAGGTTTCAAAATCACTCTTTTTAAAAATATTCCTACACCATAGCCTCTGGCCACTTGGAGCAACTAGAGATGCAATCCAAGTAGAGACCTCTGGAAAGTCAAAGAAATGTCTGCAGTTTTGATTAGACTTTCTCTGCCCTGTGCTGACTGGTGTTTGCTCCAACATGCTTCCTCTAAGTCTCCTAACCTCAGCATTATTCTATACCTACCTCTCTCATCATCTTCCCTCTGACCTGCCCCCTTACTCCCTTCCTTTCCATTTCTCTTTCACTGACACCCTGCCAAACAAACCCACCCATTAAAATAACCTCGTCTCAGGCATTGAGTTTTGCTGCCATCCAGGATCACACTGCTTGTCACTCTGCCCTGTGTTTCTCTTGTCTATTTAAAGATTATAAACCCAATGAGGCTACTGGCTACAAGCACCTCTGCAACTCTCAGTATGAACAATGGGGCCCATTCTTGGTTGACTCATGGCCTGAAGGTAAAGGAGACATGTCCATAGATTTCAATAGGCTGTGGAATAGGTCTCAACATTTTTTCAGGCTGCCATTATTTCATAAACTAATGTACTAATGTACACAGCTTCAGCCTATAGAAAAGCACAATACCAGGTAATTTGTAGCAATGAACTACATAAATGTATATGCAGAGGTCACACAGCTGAAGGTCAGAAAATGGCAAGGCTCTTATCAGACAAAAAAGTAAGAGCCAGAATTGCATTATTTTTCCTTTCGAGAAATAGGCTAAAGCTTACAATAACCTGTTTCCATAGAAAGAAGAACTAGAACTGTGGCTAATCTGTTGTTTCATTGTTTATGGGAAAGCAAAAATTAAACTGGTTTATTTGGATTAGAGAAATACGATGCCCATCACATTACCTTTTCACATATAAAGCTTAGGATCCCATCTCTCTTGTAATCAATAACAAATAGTTGATGCTCTAGTAATCAGATTTAAATTGACATACACATTTCTCCAGTCTACTGAGATTGTAGTATCTTAAAATCCTCTTAATATGACTGGCAACAATTGTACCAGGTTTGACACACACCCAGGGTTGATTTCAAAGCAGAATCAAGACCCAGTGAAGCTAGAAATCAAATAGAAATGTGGTTGCATAAGAAAACAGAGTGCTCAGCAGATAAAAACATTCCTTTGGAAGAGTGGTCTTTTATATGGCAATGCACTGCCTCCCCTTCTTTTAGTGTTTTCACATCATAGAACTCTTGCAAAATAATACACCATTGCCATAGGACTCTCCTCCAGACTTAGTCAGTTCATATAACTTGTTCAGAAGCAGGCCAAAGGGACTGAAGGATAACTTCGTTTATCTAGATTTTAGTGACCTGCCTGAAGCACAAACTGGGCAAAAACAAAAGAATCATCAGAGAAGATTATAGTCACCATTACTGCTGGTTGTACAGGGAGTTATCACGTAAGAAATGATACAGTGAAAATCCACATTCAGCATTAGCTAGCAGCATGTGGCTGAACACAGGAAATGGAAATAAAATGCCAGCTACAAATACACGATTTGGAATCTGCTTATTACAAGAAAGTTAAGAGGCAGCAGAAAAACAGGGCCTCCCTGATTGTATGGTGAAGCTCCCAATTCTGGAATATGAAAAAAAGAAACTAAAGAAATGCCACTGGCCCATCCTTGAAACCTATCTCAGTATTACCAAACACAAATGTTCAAAAATAATGAGATTGGCTTTAAAAAAAAAAAAAAAATCACATGATTAAAACACTTTTTTATTTGACTTCTTATTTCTGAGCCTTTAGGGTGCACTAGGGTCATATTTTCAAACCTTTCTCTACAACAGGAGGGTTACCAATATACTTTTTAAAATGAAAGCGAAGATTCTCTTAATCACTTGCCTCTAGGAGTTGGGGTGTTAACTACAATATCCATTATTACAAGAATCAGCAAAAAACACATTGTACAGGTACAACCTCCCTGGTCTGGCACCCTGGAGACCTGAGCCGTCCTGAACCACAGAGTTTGCTGTACCAGGGGAGGTCAAGGCTCTCCTCTTAGTTGTCAGCCCTGCTATCCACAGCCATGTCAGGGCTGTGCTCCTGCCTGGGGATGGGGATGTGCTCCCCACCATGGTGGGGGTGCCAGGTCCTGCTGTCTCTAGCCTGGCCGGGGATGTACTCTCCGCTGTGCCAACTGCAACTCCGGCCGGTGCTGTGCTCCTGGGTGCCACTGGCCCCACTGCATCCAGCCCAGGCAGGCTGCCTGCTTTTCCGTGGCTGCACTGCCAAGTGTTGGCCCTGCTACCTGTGGCCCAGGTGGAGGTGCACGCCCTGCCACCAGTCACAGTCGGAGCGTGCTCTTCACCGCACCAGCCCAGCCCATAAACATGGACAGCTGGGGCTTTCTGATCCAGCAATATATGAGGTCCTGATAGATCATGGATGTTGCCGGACCAGAGTGTCCCAGATTTTAGAGATTTAACCTATGCAATACAAACAATTTTAAGCCCTCATTGCAGGACCCAGTACCATCTAGACCATCACTGATAGATGTCTATGTAACCTGCTCTTAAATCAACTTTATTCAAGTTGCTGTGTTTAGCTAATGATTCTGCTCACTGATGCTCAGTTACTGTAAATTCCAATAATTTCGTTTATCTCCTTTACACGTTTGTAGTCCTTAATCAATCAATTCAATTTAACACTGTTGCACTACTTTGGACCTTTAACTTCAATATTGCTTAATGGCATGAACTCTCAGTAAACTAGTGCCATGCTAGTAGATAGCTACTACAGAAAGCAGACATTCAGAAGTGTTGTGTCTGCCCAGGACATACTATATTCCTTTTTTTTTTAAATACGTCTGCAAGGGTATTGTGAAGTATGTTCCCCTTGAGAGTCTTGCATTCCCTGCAGGCTTTTTAATGGCGTTTGCAGTACTCTTCTGACATTCTCAGCAATTCCTGCTCTGTAACTAATTTTGTTACAATACCCCAGAATCGATTGTCCTGGTATCATGTGCATCAAATCGTTCAGTACTATTTAAAATGTTATAGGTTCCTGTTAACTTTGCAAATCTGAATTTTTGAATGTTCTGTTTGATAGAAAAAGTAAAATAAATAACTTTTAGTCTTTTTGGTAATTGTCAATGGAATCCTATCATACATAATTCAGCAGAATGTGAAGTGCTCAAGCAAGTCACAGGAGCACAAGATCAGAGGCATAGCTCAATATTGGTCTTGGTATAGTTGGGTGCTTTGGCTAAGGTAGTTGGGTACTATTCCTGCTATACTGTGCTTCTTTGTACTTGGTGCTAGCCACTGCTTTTGGCCACACAATGACACAAACACTTAAATGAGAGAAGATATCAACAAATTAAAAACTGAATGTTATATACCTTTAAATACAGCATTCCCTTTGTGCTAGAAAGAGTTGACGATGATATTAGGTGAAACACTGACTTCAAGAAATGATATCGATAAAGGGATTCAGATCAACTGCACCTATTTCTGTTACGTGATTAGTCAAGGTTGATATGTTTTTTGTCTGTAAGGAACTGTATAAGACCACATTTGTTAACACAGTTTATTGGCACATTTATTGGCAAAGCATACATAAAATACAGTTGTATTATATAACACACTGACTCACTGTGTTTTTACATGATGAAATGAACATATTAATATGGAAATGAAAAAAATTAGTTTCTTTTATAAAGTTTCACATAAATACATCAGAATAATAATAAAAAAATTAACTGGTTTAAGGGCTCCAGGGCTTTACAAAAATATGATACAAGAAATATACTATGAAAAGAAATAACAACAAAGCCAACTCAGATACAATAATAAAAACACAAAAGTTTTAGATTTATTAAGCTGCCCACAAAATGAATGGATTACATGGCTTTAAAATATCTGGATCAACAGCAATTTTACAAAGCATAAACTCTCATAGGACAGGGCATCTTTCTCCACATAAAAATATTTTTCATGTCTTTGATGAAAAAAAAAGACATTTCTTGTTTCAGCACTTTTGAATAATGACAGAAGGACTACTGGCATCAGCTACAATATAAATTAAAAATGCTGGATCCTTTAAATGGTTAAACAATGAAAGAAGATTTAAAGAAAGAACTAAAGTTACTTTAAGTTACTTTTAAAAAGCTGATTTTTCTGAAACAAGAAATTTTAGGTGCAAGTTGAAAAGCAGAAAATATTTTACAATTTTTAAAAAGTTTTCCATAGTTATGTTAACGAGATCCTGAGCACTGATGACTTGTTAAAATATGGCCTTTGTTTGATGAGGAAAAAAGACCTCTCCAACAAAAAGTTTTGTTTGAAATTTGCCACGAGGTGCTATTTAATTTTCAATTATTTTAATTGAGGTCAGTGCCAGTATCGTGTCATGTATGAAAGCTTCCAAGAAAAGTACATGAAAGCTTATATATGATTTTTCTCTAATTAAAAAAATCAGATAGCTGTAGTTTAGAAATAGATATTGTATCTGGAACTTTTTTTTAAAAGAATGTTGTGAAATAGTAATTATAATCCACTGACATATATAACAGTGGATAATGCTGCAGAATAACCTATTGGGAAGCTTGTGGTGTGGGATTTTCAGATTTGGTCTCCTGGTTAGCAGAAGGTTTGCTGTTCCAGGGGCTGTTATTTCCCAAGGCAGGTGAATTGTTGAAGTCTTCTTCATCATCCATACCATTTGCTGCATCATATTGCGTGTTCTCTAGTCTAGTGATAAGCCTTTCGTCTTCATCCCCAAATTCACCTCCCATCAGCGTTGGTTCTCCTACCACCATCACATCCTGTGAACAGCACCCAACATTTGTTATATGGAAACCTTGAGAGAGAGAAAACCAACTTAAAATAGCCATATTAGAGGATTTGAATCTGTTAATTTTGTGACATTCACACAATGGAACCTGATGCTCCTATATGGTTAGCGTCACAATGCAAACTTAAGTTTGATTTTTTATTTATAAAATAAAACACTGCAAAACCTTTATCTATTTGTATATTCAAGGCACTGGTTCTCAAACCACCAAAATACATAATGCTAGAAGAATAAAATATACATTTAAAAATAATCAAACTAGAAAAGTGGAGACAATTAGAAAGTTTTAAATGGTTGGTTTAACCTTCTATTTGGTATTTTTATCCTCTATACAATTATTTTCCTTTACAGGACATCAATTATTTTGTTTACAAAGACTGCCCAGGATGCAAATGAGTTGCAATTTTGTAATATTCATGCATTAAATCTAGTACATGACACAGTACTTCTCACACTCAGGCTGTTGAAATAAAGAACACAGTGTAAAGATGGTAACTCTCTTATCCCTAGCCAGCCAAGCCCTTTTGCTCATCCAATATACTTGACATTCTGCTACTTAATTATGGTAATTAATTTAGGTAAAGTTTTCGATAAAAACAATGTTCACGCTGATTTGACAATTTGCATAGTTAATTAAGTCATTAGCAAAAACCTGCTGATTGCCAACAAGCCCTGAATTTACCATCTGTTATTTCATGGTGCCTGTCACCTATCTTCGCGTAAGCAACCCTGCCGCCAATCTGTGCAGTAAGAGGCCCAATCTGTCCAGCTGGTACCATCCAAGGAAGATGAAGAGTGCTAATTATAATTATACTGATGAAACTAGTAGTCATCAAAAATTGAAGTATTCAAGAAGGAAAGAATCCATCTAATCACTGCTTTAAGTACAAATTGTCCTTCCATGAAAACAAGTAAAACACCTACTGTACTACAGTGCATCACAGATTTGTTGCTGGATGCTAACCAGAATAGAGTGGAAAGGTGCAAAATCAGACTGAAAAAAGTTCTCTTTTGTTTTCTCTCTTTTAAGGAAAATCAGGTTGTTCTGCAAACTACTACACTGGGGAAGGAAATACATGGGATGCATCTTCTGATGGAGTGGGACAGGTGGACCTTCAGATAACATAGAATCATAGAATCATAGGACTGGAAGGGACCTCGAGAGGTCATTGAGTCCAGCCCCCTGCCCTCAAGGCAGGACCAAGCTCCGTCTACACCATCCCTGACAGATGTCTATCTAACCTGTTCTTAAATATCTCCAGAGAGGGAGATTCCACCACCTCCCTTGGCAATTTATTCCAATATTTGACCACCCTGACAGTTAGGAATTTTTTCCTAATGTCCAATCTAAACCTCCCTTGCTGCACTTTAAGCCCATTACTCCTTGTCCTGTCCTCAGAAACCAAGAGGAACAAATTTTCTCCTTCCTCCTTGTGACACCCTTTTAGATATTTGAAAACCGCTATCATGTCCCGCTTATCATAACTGGTGAAAGTGCAACAATTCCAGATGCCCAGATTTGTACCTGCTGATTTAATCAGTCCAATCTAAACCTCCCTTGCTGCACTTTAAGCCCATTACTCCTTGTCCTGTCCTCAGAAACCAAGAGGAACAAATTTTCTCCTTCCTCCTTGTGACACCCTTTTAGATATTTGAAAACCGCTATCATGTCCCGCTTATCATAACTGGTGAAAGTGCAACAATTCCAGATGCCCAGATTTGTACCTGCTGATTTAATCAGCA